CATACATACATACATACATACATACGCATAGCGTTTCGGGCAGGACCTTAATCCTAATTTTCCCCGGAATACGACCCGCCAATTCGTTTAACAACCAGGTACCTATTCACTGCTGGGTAAACAGAGGCTACAGTTAAGGATTTTCGCCCGGTCAATTTTCCCCGGCCAGGATACGAACCCAGGCCAAAGCGCTCAGGAAGCACAGGGCCAGTGTCTTACCATTGCGCCACTGAGACTATGCTCCACCTTACATATGGGGCATAGCAACCCACATCACAACTACCAAATTAATAACATTACATTGCAGCAAATTGATGAAGAAAATTGGTCAAACTCCACCACTTACTGAAAGTTGCGCAACAGGTAGGAATAGCAGTCGAACAGGCTAACCAAACCCCTTGCAATAATCAAACATACCTTTGACTTTAAGGAAAAGAAGGTTTGTTTGTATAAATCTCTGGTGCGCCCCCGTTTGGACTACTGTATCCAAGCATGGAGACCTTATCTTCAGAAAGACATAGCTGCTCTGGAGAAAGAACATCACTGGCAATCTAGAACTTAAGTCAACTCTCGTGCCAAGAACGGTTGAGGGGCCTCCTTGCGATGATTTCGGGGCTTAGCGTCCCCGCGGCCCGGTCCTGTACCAGGCCTCCTCGTTGCTGGACTGGTCAACCAGGCTGTTGGACGCAACTACTCGCAGTCTGACTCATGGTTAGTCAGGTGTCAGACTCAGTGTTCTGACTGAGAGAAGGTTTAGTAAACTAAAAATCATAAATACATTATGAGTTTTGAGGTCATCTTTGTCGCTGGAAACATGAAGTTACGTTCAGTTTTTGGGTTTAAGGCTTCTCAACTTCTGGAAAGTAACTAGGCCTACCAACATCTGGAGGGTTAGTAATTAAGGCCTATCAACCTCTGGAAGGGTATTAAAACCTATCAACCTCTCTAAGGATATTAAGACTTGTGTACCTCCGCACGGTTAGTAAGACTTATTAACCTCTGGAGGGATATTAATGCTTATCAACCTCTTGATAGTTATTAACACCTTACAACCTTTCGAGGGTAATTAATGCCTAGGAACGTTTAGAAGGTTATTAGTGCCGAACCACGACTAGACTGAACAGAGGTAAAGGGTATATCTCTCAATGTGTATATTGTGTACATTCGGTACCATTTACGGGCTATTCATGCCCGTGCCACCTCTTGGGTGGCTTAATCTTTATCAATCATCAATCTTGTGTACATCATCAATCTTGTGTACATTGACAATTCCATATATGACAGGAAGCTCGCAGTGTATATACACCGAGATGCGGAGTATCCATTGTGTACTCACTATACTACAATGGAATTGCAATGGAATTCCCAATAGAATTAATGACATCATACAATGCGTCCGTGAACACCAAACTGTTCTCTGGAGCGCACTCTCTGACACGTTTTGCCTGCATACCACAATGTCCTGGTTGTGACTCACTGCTTGATTTTCTCACTTTTCTCACAAGGAAACGTTCCATTGAAGATTGTTTTTCCCTTCTTTGCAACACTCTGTAGTGAGGCATCACATTGTCATTAATAAGATCAATGCAACGGCATACTACAGTTTTATCTGGGAGATTCTTTCCAGCAAAACTTTGCAGTCCTTCCCATACTACAGATATTTTCTTAATGAGGAAGGGACATTCTCTACTGCCTCCTCTTCCTTCCCTGATGATTTGTTGTACTGCCTAGTTAGTTCAACAACACAAGTACCATTTTAATTCTTACGAATGAATTCTTGTTTTTCCTCTATGGTCATTCTCACATGTTATTTTTTGCCTTCAACCTTACCATGGCTTTCGTGGGACCCATGGCGAGATATATAATAACAACTTTTATGCTCAAATGGCCAAAAATCCGACAAAAAAACTGTAAATTCTTCTGAAGAATTCAGGCAGGATAGTCACTGGGCGTGAGGCACTGGTAAACTGAGGCGCAATCACTGTGCCACCACGCGCTAAGTCGGCCATACGCGTATCAACAAACTTGTATCCAGATGCAAAGTTCGTAGCCCGATTCAAATCTTCCGAGCAAATCGGGCTCGTAACCCGGGCTGAGTGCAGATAGAGTGGCACTCTGGGGTCTTGAGTTAAAATTTAATTACGGGCAGGGTAGAGGATGGAGTAGAGCCGAAAACCCCGCCCCGTGTTACATCCAAGTTGAAATACAGCGTGCAATTCTTAACCATGTTATGGTACAATTGACTAAGGCGCATCTGGAAACATCCTGTGCATAGGTTCGAACATTCATGACAGCCCTTGTGGATTTGTTCTTGTTGCTAAATCTCTGCCATACACACGACAAAACTACAACGATGCTACATAGTTTGAATAAGTTTTAACGCCTAACAAGTTGTAACAACCAATATAACAAGTTGTAACAATGTTCTAATACATCATAAAAATATTATAGAAAGATGTAACAACTTTATTACAATTTGCAACAAGTGGAAAATAGGGACAATTTCGTTTTGTGTTTGCAGGGCTTATAATACCCTCAGAATGTTTTGTTACAGAATACCATTTCCATGGAATTTGGGGCTCAGTTATTCATAAAATCCAATAGTTGGCAGGAGTACATCTTAAATTAAAAACGCATTTTTTTTTAGCATTGTCTTTGCTTCGTATTTAAATATTTTCAAGTTCTACAATACTTGCATGGTTTGTGTATTCATTGTTCACATTTTCAATTTTTATCTACATGGTTTGTTGATTTTCCTTTTAGGATTTATTTTCAATTAGTAAATTTCTTCATTACTGTAACTTCCTTTCTGGGATTATTTTCTTGGCATGTCAGCTCAACTGTTCCTTTCAGTTGAGGAATCATCATCTGTCAACCATTTTTTCAATCACATATTTGTCTGATCTCAATTTCATTGTCTTTCCACTCCTGGCCTTTGTAAACAGTAGGAAAAGTAGAAATGGTTCAGACAATTTTCTGGAAAGTAATTATTAATAGATAGTACCTAGCTAGAAAGGTTATTTAGCAATGTAATTTTCTGGAAAATGTGTGTCAAATTAGGTAATGTAGGCAAGTTCTTATTTTAATTGTGTGGATAGCTACATATATATTGGCTTCTTTATCGTTACATAATACAGTATTTGCAAACTGAAGCCTTACATTCTCTTCCAGTCTTATATGTCCAGCCACTTGGGCTGGACAGTAGAGTGATGGTCTTGCTTTATGCAGGTTGGGGTTCCATCCCCGACCGTCCAGGTGATTGGGTACTATTCCTTCCCCCCCCCCCCCCCCCGTCCCATCCCAAATCCTTATCCAGACCCTTTCCAAGTGTTATAGTCATAATGGCTTGGCACTTTCTCCTGATAGTTCCCTTCACTTCCAGTCTTATATTTAGATTCTTTATTCAGGTAAAGGTACATACATTGCAGATGAGATATAAACATAATGTTGGATTTAAAGAAAGAGCTAGTACATACAATACCTAAAGCCCCTAGTACGAATAGCGTTTCGGGCAAAGGTTTTCGTTACCATCTTATATTCCCAATTACATTACCCTCTCAACCAAGGGTTGATAGTCCCTTATACGAAAGCCATATTTTACTTTTGTGGCCTTACTCTCATAAGGCTGCACATTGTATTATGCATTGTATACATTGAAATATATAAAAAAATTAATTTACAAAGCTTCATTAATTTAAACTGCTTTGGAAGGCTGCACTGATTACCATAAAAACAAACATGCAGTCTTAAGGCCACAAGTTTCCCACCATTGTCTATAAATTTTATTTTACACTTTAAGCTAATATATTAAATAATAGAATCTCTTTCCTATGCACTTCTTTTGGACTTAGAGCAGAAATCTGCATTTGATTTCAAGAATTCACAAACAAACTTAACTCACTGCAACCACTTGCATAAAAACATTGTTAGCAAAGTACCTCTAACTGCAGAAAAATTCTTATAAGCTTCATTAGCAACCTAAATGTTAAGACAATATTAATTCTTCACTGCATTTTCAGATCATTTTCCATTATTCTTTATTCTAATTACCATAGCTTCTTTTTCTTAAGGAATAAAATCTCCCCTTCTCACTCCACACAGATGGCAATATTTATCCATGTGATATGCCAGGCTTACAACATGAACACAGAGTTGTGTTCATGTGAAGCAGTAATGTCCTTATTTCTCATACATGACGAAATCTTAATTGTAACCATCATTACAACTTTGGTCCCTCAATTAAGTGGCACAATGCTATTCCATTATTTTCCTGTATAGATGAAAGCAAAATCCAATTTTCTTAACCAATAAGAAAACTATTACAAAATTTATTTTAAAGTTGTTGTGTATAAATGTCATAAATTGATTTTAACTCAGCAGTACATTAAGTGCAAAATCATGTATATGCTTAAGGTAATTTGTATTTTCCTTTAAGTAAAAAAAAAAAAGGTTTTGCATTGTTATCTGTTAAAAATTGGTCTGGTGAGCATCAAACCAATTTTTAATAATGCAATCTGTTACATTATTAAGTGACAAGACCGAAATAATCAAGAATGTTTTGCCCATAAACATATTAAATAGAACAAAACAGGTTTCCTTCTTCGAAGTCCTTTTCCTCCTCCCCCTCACTTCCTGCCTTAGTGGCCATATCCTGTACTTAAAAGCTGCAAAAGGGGTACCCCTCAAACAGCCAAGAAGGCTTCCTGCTTACATTGTAAACTACTTAATGCATATGGAGGAGAACAATGCTAATCCACTCGCACAACACAGATGGAATGCAAGTCAGGCAGAGCCCCATACTAGGACTTACATATGTTACACATAGCTGATCGTTGACTGCACTAGACCATTATGCACCAATTAACGACTGTTAAACTGACATCAGCAATTCAATAGAGTTTCCTGAGCAGCCTGATCAAATGAACCAAGCTAGTGATCCCCATAATCACCTCAAGGTATACTCAAGATATGTTCAATGAACTCAAGACAAACCAATTATAAAATATATTACTGTTCTTTATTATGCCCTTTTCTTAAGAATGTTTCAAAATACAATACAAAAATAGCAATACAACACAAAGTATTTTCAGATTCATAACATAAACATGCATTTATAACAAAAACTCATAAAATACAATGAACACTAATGTTACAAATCCTAATCACTTATTAATATGTTTCTCAATTATTACAGTAGAAGCACTGGGTTTGTACACAACCTTTTTCTTTTCTTCAGTAACTCCAGAGAGGATAACATTACGAGTAAGATTTGATGATGCTTGGTTAACCTTGCGAGTTTCATTAATCTCGGGTTTCTTTTTTGCTTGGTCTTTAGCGTGACCAAAACTAGAATTATTAATGGGTGTACAATAAGGACATTTATAAGGAGCAGAGGAATGATTTGATTTAGCACCTGCAGATCTGCAATGACATGACCTTGTATACATACAATCTTGCGAGGAAGAGAGCCCTCGCTTCATTGTCGCCTGAGGTTCGGATCCTGAAGGAATTGTAGGCTCAGGTCTGTTCATCCTTTCATCACGCAACTGTTGCAAAAAGGCTCGAGTTTCTTGCCGAAGGGAATCGGGGACAAAATCAGAGATAACTGGTTTTCCTTTTGGTATTGCTCCATGATCTGTCCTTTGAAATCTATGACCCCTTCCAAGACCAACTGATGAAAGACCTGCTGACCTGTAATGAGAGGATCCTTGATGATCAGTGAATACCTTTTGTTTATTAGAGTAATGACTAAAACTTTCAGCATCAGAACTTTGAGGAGAATTTTCAAAATCTTCACTTCCTCCATACATTCTACGATGAGTACTCTGGGACTGTGTTGCTGCCGAGTTCTCACGATCAACACCTCTGCCAAATGTTGAATACGACTTACTTTGCTCATTTTGCTCACGTGTTCCACGAGAATGATGTACTTGCCCAAAATCTCCATGTGAACCTTTATCTTCCCCTCTTGCTCTTTTTTCACCATTGCGGTTCTTTTTTCCGTCTCTGAATCTTTCCGCATTTTCTTTATTTGCTGGGCTAGACTCTCTGTCATTCTTCTCCAGCTGATGACTTACTGGAGACGAAGAGACGCTAGATGACTCAGGAGACAAGCTACCTTGGTCTTCATTCTCTTCAAGCCCAAGACGACGGGTAGCTGCATCCTGCAGGCATATTTAAATGGCATTTTTAGTGCTGCAACAATGTTATTGAAAGTATACAAACAACAAGGAGGCAATCCCATTATCGGATTAGGTCACCCAAAAGAATTTAACAAGTTTGGGCAAATACAGCAGTGCTAGGCAAGTTCATCTTTAACAACAGTATATAGCAGAAGAAAACTGTAAATGTTAGTTAATTCAAGTATGAACATATCAAAGTAAATTTTTGGACACTATTAAAATAATACAATAATTATTTACAGTATTATAACTTAACTTCTTAGTGATCTGGTTATGAAGCTTTACATCCATCACAAGTTGACTAAAGAAGTATGTCAGTGATTAATGCTGCCTAAACCACTTGAAACCTTGATCATGTGCCCTCTGGTCCTGTCTCTCTCTCTCTAGTGACTGTAGACAGATAATTCAAACCTTCATAGGAAAGGGACCAGACCAGGGACCTTCATAGGAAAGGTCCCTGGTATTAAGTATCAATTTTATCAAACTTCTCAATATTTCATCTAGAGTATGTCCATTCAGTAAGCAGAACTGCATAGTGCAGTCCAAGCAGGATCTGACCAATGCTAAAGAATGATATTTATGATTCTGTTCCTAATGTTACTTATTATAGATCTTTGCACCCTGTTTTCCTTATTTCATGCACTGATACATTGCTGCCTTAGCCTCAAGTTGCTACAAGCCAGGACTCTCAAGTCTCTCTCACAATTTGATCAACAAATGACTGTAACATTGGTATATAGCATATCTTTCCCTAGTTTAAGCCATTTGCATCTCTCTACATTAAACTGCATTTGCCATTCCTTTGCCAGCATTACATGTCCTATCTTTGTGTCATAAGTAAACAGGCTAATATTACTGGTCACTCCAGTATTAAGGTTAATAGATGTAGATGTAAATTATGAAAAACTGTGGTTCCAATAAAAAGCCATGGCATGCCACCACTTGTATCCATCTACTACAACTTCAATCCATTGATGCTGACCCTGTTTTCTGCCTTTCAGCCATGCCCTTATCTAGCTTAGTATGTTTCCTCTGATGCCATGCGCTCTGACTTTCTCGAGTAGCCTCTTGTGCGGAACTGTGTCAAAAACCCACAAGAACAAGATGACATATTTGGAAGTGAACTATGTAAGTTATTACGACTAGATTTTCAAATTATCAAATTTATCTAAAAAATTACTAGAAAATTATATCCTGCACTTCCCTTTGTTTACCTTAAATAAAAGTTGCTAGTGAAACTTTATAGTGCAAGTCAGCCATCTGAATTACCATACAGTCACAACTAATACAAGTTCACAAAACAATGGATACAAATGGGTCAGATGTAACACTAACAAGGCACAACGGTTTCAAGCTCAACAAGCCACATTGCAGGACAGAAAACAGGAGATACTTTTTCACCCATAGAGTTATAAACCCATGGAACAGCCTACCCGCTGAAACACTGCTGCAGTTTAAGATCCAGCTCGATAAGATCATCAGGACATAGGGAGGGGGGGGGGGTCATCTCTGAGAAGCCACCAATTTCCTGTCCTTGTCGAGGCCACTAGTGAAATGGTGGCCCATAGATAAATTTAATTAAATTGTACAAGGTTAGAGTCAGAAAAGACTTTAATAAATATATGTTTGAGACAATAACATGAGCATTGAAGATTTATGGAACAGATTAACTAGTCCATGAATGAATTTGCTTGGGTGTAAATAGCACATAAACCAAAATGCTTTATGAAGTTTTATATTTTCTTATGTTCTTAAGTTTTTAATATTCTCAAGTACCATGCAGCAACAATAGTTCTAAAGTAGTCAATCTATACAAAAATATGCTACATCAAGCAAAACTTGTTGCCTGTACTGAGAGAGAGATTGAAATAGAGATAGAGATAGAGATATATATTAGTTATTTCCTAAATTTACCTGAGGGCCACTAATACTAGTGGCCTCGACGAGGACAGGAAACTAGCGGTTTGTCAAAAGTCCTCCCCCCCCCCCCATTTGCCCTGATGATCTTTCCTATCTGTATTTTAAAACCCAGCAGAGCTTTAGCGTTTACGGTTTCAGCAGGAAGGCGGTTCCACCTTCAATTAGTTAATGTAGAATCAATAATAAACAATTTTGGATTTTAAAGGATCCGCAAGGAACTCTATTACTGAACTGCCCGAATTTACCAGAGGGACACCATCTCTAACGACATTGATGGAGACAGGAAGCCAATAGCTTGTCAAAGGTTCCCCCTCATTATTTCTAAGATTTTTCCAGATGAATTTTGAAATATGGTACTATCTTGGCATTTATGGCTTTGGCAAGTAGGTGATTCTATGGTTAATTGCTTCATGGGTGAAAAAACATCTATTTTCAATTCCCTATTGGGCTTTGTAGAGCTAGAAGCTATTTTCCCCCCTTGTTTTATATTGACCATTTAAAGAAGTGATCAGGAACTATATCTTCCAATTTGTTCAATATTTTATGCTCACTGAAATCAGCCCTGTTATGTCTGGCTCTTAGTGTTATTCATCTTGAGACCCTCAAACTTTCTGGATATAAGACATGACTGGCTTTTTTTTTTTTTATCTCCATTCAACTTTTCCCAAAGCTGACATGTCCTTTTGAGGGTTATGTGTTGTAATCAACAAGTTAGGAGTGAATATTAACTATGCTTGGACATAATAGTACAGATAGGGATGCATCAGATACTTCTTCAGTTGGAAAAACATTTAGCAGTCTCCGTGGCGCAGTGGTAAGATACTCGCCTGGCGTTTCGCAAGCGCCTTGCCTTGGGTTCGAATCCTGGCCGGGGAAGATTGACCGGGCGCCAATCCTTAACTGTAGCCTCTGTTCACCCAGCAGTGAATGGGTACCTGGTTGTTAAACGATTCGGCGGGGTCGTATTCCGGGGAAATTAGGGTTAAGGACCTGCCCGAAACGCTACGCGTACTAGTGGCTTTACAAGAATGTAAAACTTGTATATGTAAACTTTTCCTTAAAGTTAAATACAGTATAGGGCATGTTTGATTATCCCTATGGTTTTGTTGATTTTTTTTTACTGCACTCTACTTTCACCAACTTTCAATGACTGAATCATAAGTCCTTCTTTTTACCAATTTGTTGCAAGGTCGTATAGTTAATACTGTATCATAATTATGATTTATTTTTAATATTGATGAGATTAGGGATACACTAAAATGGAAGAATGAAGTGAAACTGCTTCTGAAAGAACCATGAATGGAAGGAAATGCATAATGAGTCATATAACTGAAGATATTTAATGAATTAGCGATTTTGCACAATACCGTCAGGATACAAACATGATAAAAACTCTTAAAACATAAAAAGAAAGTACAGATGAGTCCCACTTGAATCAAAAGATTCATTGCAAATCCTATCCATTGCGAAAGGATTGCCATTGCATCCAAACTTTGCTACTTTATCCACAAAATAATAAGTTTTTATTAGTGTAATTGATAGAATACACTTGAACAAAATTACAAAATATATATTTTTAATTTGGTTTTATATACACTGGTATATATTTTTACCATTAGATGTTTTCTTCGAATTGCAGTTGCAACCAATTACAATGGTCTTACCACAAGAACTGAGGCTTCTCATTACAACCATATTGCTGGTGGACTGGATTTTAACAAGACTCCGCAATACTCAACTGAGGTTACTAACCTGAAACATTGTAATGGCTTCAGAATTTAAGACATTGGCACTACGGAGAAAAGCCTGTTTGGCTGCCTCTTGACAAAGCAACAGTTCTGCACGTAGATGACTGTTCTCCTCTTTGAGAACCTGAAACTGAAAACAACAACCAAGTATAACACTTAACATACCCCATGAAATTGAAATAAATTTATTGAGACATAAATACAGAGAGAGACGAGGCAGCTACATGAAATGACCAAATTTACACACCTCAATTTATCTAACCAATTACTAACAATTCCTATACACTTCCTATGGATGTACTGTAATTCTCTAAAGCTTCATTTCTTTAAGAACAATTGCCACCAATGAGAGATATATATTTTAACATGGATCCTATGAACTAAGTATATAGAAAAATACTATTTGGAGGAATTAATTTTCTGAAACAGGAAAAATTATTTCTTTTTATAAAAAGGATAGCTGCTAGCAAAGCCATCCAAAGTGTATTAATAAACCTCGCACAATATCCCATTCTCGAGCTAGCCGAGAGCTAAAATCAGTTATATGACATTCAATGCTATTTTTTGCACGCTGAGTATATATTACTAATGTTGACAATACAGTATTTATTATAGTAATTACTGGAAACTTTTAGAGCAAAAAATATCTGAACTTAACTAGTAACATACTGTGGTGCCATAATTCTTTTGAAGAACTTTCTTTCTCCAGGTAGAAAATGCACTTTTTGCAAGACGTTTACTACGAGTCCTTCCTGCAATCCTCAGAAGATGTCCCTGCAAAATCAAAATTGCTATCAGCCTTTCTATTTGTGACATTCCTAATTGCATCTATTCACAACAAAACCTCTTGTTTACTATCACAGTGTGTGTGTGTGTGTGTACAATATAAATAACTACATTATGAACTAAATTCCAAACATTGTTAACACACAGACAAGGTGATTACTGTAGTGTAGTTGTGAGACACTATTTTATAATATTTTGATTGCTCACTTCCCCTTCATCCCAGTAATAACTGTACAATACAGAGAACGTAACAATGTCAATAATGCAGTCTTGTGCTTTATGAATGTTCTTTAGAAGTGTCAATATATGTTATCTTTTAAGTCTCGAATTATGAATCTTTAATTTATGAAAATTTCTCATAGTAAAAGCCATATTGTACTGCATTTAAATATTGTTATGTCTTACAAAACTAAATCAAAATAATTTCAAAAATAACATTTTACCTCTGTTAGATGAACATTATAGTATCAAAGTATAATACCCTACTATACAAAAATAATTATGAAGTAATATCATGCAATTATTAGTTTAGTTAATTAAGGGTCAGAAGAAGATTAGTAAGATGACTTAATAATATAACTAACCTCCTCTCTCGTCTGTATATGATGCATTCTCCTCGCCATCTCTTCATTTTCCTGCTGCTGATTATAGAGCTGATTTTTTAAGGCTGGTATTTCCTATAATTAAAAAGTTGATCTTATTAAATCCAGTGCTTAATCCTTAAACACTTATTGAAAATGATCTTAGTCATATTAAAGTCTCCCCTTTTCCCCCGGTTCTTTTAGCAAAGTGAAAGTTATATAAACTAGTTGTAAATTTTACCGAAGCATGTCAGACGAGACTGCTAGAAGTGAATATTCACAAAAAGTTATGGTGCTGAAACGAGAAGGAAATTATGTGTGTAAACTAAATATAAATGGTGAAATGTTGCAAGTGGTTGACCAATTTAAATACCTAGGATGTGATCATTTAATGAGAATAATCAAACAGGGAAGGAAAGTGGTTGGTGCAATGAAAGCTTTGATTATGGAAACAAGGTAGAAACAGACATAGCTAGAGATCTGCATGAAGAAGTGGTAGTACTGACTGTTATGTATGGCTACAAAATGATAGTGCTATATGGGTTTGAAAAACCAAAGAGTTAAAGCAGTAGAAATGAACAATCTATGAAGCATGTATGTGTTAATGCGATAACAATCTGACCCATCAGTATGTACCTGACCGTGAATGTTCCACACACCTCAACATCCAACAAAGTGATATCTAAAGTGTTTATACCAAGCTTTGGGTTATAACTATAAATGTGGTGTCAAAATGTTTGCAAATAAATTTATTATCTTGAGGTTATCTTGAGATGATTTCGGGGCTTAGCGTCCCCACAGCCCAGTCCTCGGCCAGGCTTCCTTTTTTGTTACACACCCCCAGGAAGCAGCCCGTAGCAGCTGTCTATCTCCCAGGTACCTATTTACTGCTAGGTAACAGGATCATCAGGGTGAAAGAAACTCTGCCCATTTGTTTCCGCCTCCACCGGGGATCAAACCTGGAACCTCAGGACTACGAATCCGAAGTGCTATCCAGCCCCCTAATACTAGAGTAAAGATGTAAAACAAAATGTTTTGTGAAAATATATTGTGTGTTATATTACTGAATACATGAATGTTTATCAACATTTCAACATTCCTCATTTATTTTTCAACATGAAATGTATAAATGTGGGCATATGATCAGTCTATATTATTGTAACAAACGGGCTCACCATAGCCAATGCTACTGGAACTTCTTGTTCTGAGTAGCTGAATCTAAAACAACAACATATTGTAACAAGGAATCAAACTTTCAAATTTTTCTGGAAGGTAATCTGCAAAGCACTGTGAAAATGTTCACAAGCAGAGCCGTTATTAACTTGGGTGATAGGAGTTGGCCGCGGTGATCTCTGGACAGTCCCCCAATGAAAAAAGACTAGCTACAGTACTGTACTATAATTGTATTTTGACTCTATTCACCTCCACCTACCTTCCCCCAATAATTATTTTACAGTGTATAGAACTTGACAGCATCAATACTGAAGTCCAGACCTTTCCTAAGTGCCTTCAAAGCTATATTAGTAATCTGTCACTCTTTTGTAACTGACAAGAATGTTCCGTACTGAGAAGTCAAACTAGCATTTGAACATTATTACTTGATAATGCTTATACTGGCTCAAATTAAGTTTTAATCTTAGATATGTATGGATGTAAGCTTCTTTTAATTGTCAGCTTAATTCAAGACTGGAAGAAGATTAGTATTCTGAGGACATAATGAAACATTTGTATTCCAATCAACACTGCCTTTAATATATGACTAACCTCCTCTCTTGCCTTCATAAGTTGCATTTTCTTCCCCAATTCCTCATTTTCCTGCTGCTGATTATGGAGCTGATTTCTTAAGGTTGAAATTTCCTGTAATTCAGAAGTTGAGCCTATGAGAACCAGTGCAATGACCCCTTGTCGACAATGATTCAAAATTTATATATCCTCTCAGGTTTGAGAAATTTTTATAACATGCTCTGAATAAATAAGAGATATTTATATTAGTTATAAAGCAGTCTGAATTTTAGAGGTTAGAGTGTGCATATTTGCTCGAAATTTACTGGTTTGCCCGAAACGCTATGCGTACTAGTGGCTTTAGGTATTGTATGTACTACAGGTATCTCTATCTTTTAATCCAACATTATGTAACTCAATGTATGTACCTTTACCTGAATAAAAAAATCTAAATCTATATAAAATTTCAGAATTCTAAACCACTACTATAAGAGAAAATTATGGAACATCCAAATTTTCTAAGTATACCTGCTGTAGATCTGCCACTGCCCGATGGTATTTGTCATTGTCTGCAGAGAGACGACTTATTTCATCAGAAAGAGTCCGAACATGCTTACGTTCTTCTGTTCCTTTTAGGTGTAAGCTGGCAACACAATTTCGTATCTCCTGAAGACCTGCCTGGGATAGGTAAATCAGTGCTATTCCATTTAAAACAAATAAAATGGAAACATATATTTCAATATAGTGTTTGAGTATCAGAATAGTGGACAGGTGAGTGCATGTAGCAGATTAAAACTTTAGGTGTATGAGAAGTAATCAAAGTGGTTTAAAATATCCCAGAGTGCTATGACCACCTGCATAAACTAGACTTATATAAAGATGATGATGTGAGAAGGATGTCTTGTAAATCACACTATTCTTCACATCAGGAAAGGCAAATAAGTTAGACAAAATGAAATTCACACTTCACTATTTGACTTCAAAACAAAGATTTATTTAATTACAATAAATAATTCATTACTAGCAAATTTCCAAATGATTGACTAGATAAATGATTTAACTAATGCTAACCTGTACATGATCATCTAAGCTGTTAACAGCTGAAGATAGGTCATCTAAACCCTGGATATTTTTAGTTCGTGTCTCAGTAATTCTCACAGTCTTCTCTGAAAAATAAAACAAGAGGTGAAAATTACACAACTACAACATAGCTACTGTTATTAGTCACTGTTAGAGCATCAATATATGCTGAAGCAGTCATCTATGCACAGCACGTTCAGCACTAAGTTATTTATTTCATTCAATATCAGACATTTTTGCTCAAAGTGAGATATTTGCAAGTTTCAAGTCAATACAATGATAAGTTCTGGAGATACTGACTTGAAACCCGTTGAAAATAAGCCAAATACTGTATTAAACAAGAGCGTTTACCTGATACCCTTGTTTGGGCTTGTCTCTCTGGATTTACCGTAGCATTGCTGCCATTCTTGCCCTTCGCTTCATGTACTTTATTTTCATCTAAAGTATTTGTCCTCTTTGATATTTTGTGATTTTCCTCAGACACGCCATCCTCTGTTCCAGTGTCTATATCAGAGTCATCGCCAGAAGACCCCATCTGTATTTCTGCCCTGTAAATTTGCAAAATCTAAGATATTTAATCTATTTAATGTGGAAAGTAGCCACAGATGGCATGATCTGGAATCACAGAAAAATACATGAAAAACCAAGATGGGTTTTGAAATCATTTGACAGACGATTATATCCACTTCAGTGAAATTAATATAGTCTATTGTGGTCATGGTTGAAAGCTTACCATATTGCAATAGTGGATGAAACATTAACAAAATTTGAAATCTTATTTTGAATATATTCAACAAGCATGCATGTGCAAATATATATACAGTACTTTAGCATTATTTAATTCTAAATATAAATAAACTAGTGTCCTATTAATGGGGGAGAGGGATTTTCTTTTACAGCATAAAATACAATACAGCAAAGCATATTTAATACAACTCAGTTCAGCAAAAAATAGTTGACAACCTCTAATTTCAATCCTTTGACTGATGTCAAAATCCACTGACAAAATTAAAGACTTGTTACAGGCAGAGTTCATGAAAATTTGACACTGCTAGAACCTTAAAAACAAAAGTTATTTACCCAGTCAGAATTCCTGAGTAATTATGATTCTACTTAAAATTTAGTGTGAGGGTAAAATTGTCATCTAATCATTTTAGAGTCAACTGATATGGCCATTTTTTTTACTTAATTTATGCTTTGCATCTTCATTTCCCCATAACAAAACATTATTCCTCCATATTAGCTCATTTGCAGTTCAGATTTAACTGACAAGTTGGAAGCTTGTCAAAAGTTCCCGAGGATTTATTTATCCTGAGGATTTTTTCTAATTAGATTTTGGTATTTATGGCTTCAGTGAGTAGGCAGTTCCATGGTTTAATAACTCTATGGGAGAGAAAGCATCTCCCAATTTGTTTCCAAATTGTGGCTTGTTGAGCTTTCAACTGTTACCACTTGTATATGATATATTTGATCTTTTAAAGAGGTGGTATGAATTGAATATCTTCCAACTTATTCAGTGCTTTAATGGGCTCAAAGAGATGAGCCCTCTCATGTCTGGTTTGAAATGTTGTTAGTCCTGTAGCCCTAAACTGTTCCTGGTATGACAGCTGACTTAGTTGTGGGATGATATTTTTTCCAATTGTGTCCTCTCATTTTCAAGTTCTTTATCTTCAATACTGGATCTTTATCAATCATCCCTAGAATCACATCACAGAGAATCATCGCAGCCACAATCCAGCAAATCATCTTCAGCAGCATACCTCATTAGATTACATGTAAAGGGTTCATTGTGAGTTACATATATAGAATGGATGGAAGGATTATAGTCTACGAGAAGAGTGAAAAGCTGTGAAGATTTTGGCAACTAGTGAGGATGAAAGTGTGTGAAATCTCAAAATTATAAGGACAGTACCTGTACTATTTTAACACCAATTATGGGAAAAATTACTTGAAGCTATGAACTCGAATGACATTCATTCTCCAAGAAACACAGATGAATGAAAGACTAAGATCACAGTGTAGCTACACATAATCATGCTAGACAACTTTCTTTTTAAATAACCTAGACCACCAACCAGGAGGCTCTGTCAGACAGGACCATAAGAACGGTGATCCTCGGATTCATTGAAAGGTAAGCGAAAGATAGGATTCATCCCATGCCCAACTGGCCCCTTCCAACTAACACATTTCTGGACATTCCATAAGGATTGGATATGTAGACGCTAGACAAGGTTGTTAGATTTAGTTAAGCTAAGACAGAATAATCTATCAATACCTAACTTAATCCATGAAATTAAAGATATGTGAAATAGTGTCTAATGAAGATGCACCAACTGCCTGTCTATAAAATAATCATTACTCTGTCCACACATGAATTATCCAAGGTCCCATAAGCCTCTACCCCTCCTCCTATTTTATGATGCATAGTTTGCATGAAGATTTTTCTTCTCCTCACAACTGTACGACTGGTGTTAAAATGTAACACATCAGATGGCATTATCTTGAGGTTATCTTGAGATGATTTCGGGGTTTAGCGTCCCTGCGGCCCAGTCCTCGACCAAGCCTCCATTGCCTATCACCTAATGCCTCTGTTTACCTAGCAGTAAATCTGCCAGAGTCAAACAACTGTTGTGGCGTTGCATCCTGGTAGTTAGACCTTTGGGGAAAGGGGGGTACCTCAATATAAGACCTAATGTGTATGTATATATATAAACAGGCTGTCTGTCCCCGACATGAATTATTATTACTTCCGGGGGCACCCGTCTACAGACACCCCCGTCTATATATCGATATAAGGCTCCGGTAACCTCTTTTAAAATAGTCAGTCCCTTTCCCTTGCCGACTATGAAGGGTAAAGACAATTGGAATAAAGAAAATGCCAAAAAAACACACACTGAGGATATATTGTTGCTGTTGTTTACGTGTTTGAACCAGGAGCAGCGCGGCGCCAGCTGTCAGCGTCCCCTACCTCGCCTGGTACAAAGTTTTTTTTATGGAATTATTGTTTTTTTTTAGTACTTTTATTGTACTTTTATCAATAATACTAGAAGACAGTACCATGGGAAGTTTATTATTGAACCTTTTCGTTCCCTATGTTAATTTATCCGTGATGTGAGCAGTTGGAGAAAAGTATGTCAGGTCTTTATAATTCATGTTTAGGGGTTTTTCTCAACTAAATATTGAGTAAAATTATGTATTTTACTAAATTTTAATTACTATGTAAATTATAAAATAAAAACGCCTTAAATTTAGACAATTTTATTAGCCCACACGAATATTTTTCTGTATCTACCTACTAGTGCTTACTTAAGGTTTTACCAGAGTTTGAGGGTCTAGCTCTTATGTCTCGCCTTGTAACTATTGCTCTACAACATAACTACTCTGACTTTTAAATTCTTTGTCAAATTGGGCCTTAAAGTAATTGACGGAATTGGCTTCCACAACTTCCTCTTAGAGCATTCCGTTTGCTAACTACTCGTACATGGTATAAGTACTTTCTTGCGTTCCTTCTGCTGATTTGCGGTTCCAGTTTCCACCTTTGTCCTCTTGTGCTACTTTCTCTCAGTCTAAAGAGGCAGTTCATTTGCCACCTTTATTTTATTTATTTATTTATACAAGAGTTGTTACATTCTTGTACAGCCACTATAGCACGCACAGCGTTTCGGGCAAGTCCTTAATCCTATGTTTCCCGGAATACGACCCCGCCAAATTGTTTAACAACCCATTTTAGTTGGGTTAAACAGAGGCTACAGTCAAAAATTTGCGCCAAGTAAATCCTTCCCAGCCAGAATACGATCCCAGGACAGAGTGCTCCTGAAACGCTAGACGAGCGTCTTACCACTACGATGATGATGATGATGAAGCCACCCAAAAGGTGGCACAGGCATGAATATCCCGTAAGTGGTGGCCTTTTGGAGCCATTACCAGTATCAATAGCTGATACTGGAGATCTGTGGAGGTGCGACTGCACCCTACGGAGAGGTCGTGACCTCTCCTTACCACTACGCCACGGAAAATGCTTATCTATTCCCCTCAATATCCACATTATTCCCCTTAGAGAAGGAAAAGAAATGGAACTAGATGGATGACACAGGCATTAGATTTAGCCACAAAGAAAATCAGATCAGCTAAAAGAAACTACAAAAGAAAAGCATAAGATCTGCACCTGATGTTTTCATTTCTTGTTTTCATTCTACTCATTATGCTCAATTAGTATTAAGCTTGTCATTTAAGTTTATCATGCCCGAAACGCTTTGCGTAATAGTGGCTTTAGGCATTGTATGTACTAGCTCTACCTATAAGTCAAACAATCCTTGTAAATATTTATTGTATGTATGTACCTTACCTAAATAAAATTGTATTGTATTGTATTGTATTGTAAAATTTGCCCAAAACTTATGGGAAGGTCCAAATTCATCATATGCCTATATAAGAAGTAAAACCAAAACTAAGGACTCTGTAGGACACTTAAAAGATGAGACTAACGAAATTATAGTTTATGATAAAAGGCAGCAAACATTTTAAATGAATATTTTACATCAGTGTTTACGCTAGAAAGATTAAACATCTCGATCATCACCCATACAAATGTTTGACGAAGGTGAAGAGAATGAATTAAGGAATATACTCATAACATGCTTAGCTAAATGAATTGTGGGGTTCAGTCCCTGAGCCCATTATGTGCCTCTGTAACCCTTTCCACTACCGCCCACAAGATGGGTATAGGGTGCATAATAAATGAACTAAACTAAAAACTAACATGCGACATAATCAGAAAGTGCAGTGACAAACTAAAACACTTAAAAGCCCAAGGTGTGGATGGAATTTAGTCCAAAGTCACGAAGGAACTGGCATAAGATCTATGACTACCGCAGAAATTCTTTTTCTGAAAATTCTTTTCAGAAATTCAGAAAAATTCAAAATTTTGTTGTAAAATCTCTGCCTGCTTTTGCATCCCTTCCATAATCTGTGGCATGCTTAACCAGTGGCATGGCTTGTCTTCCCCTGCCACAGCATGCTTTTTCCATGCTCTGGCATCCTTTTAACGTGCTGTGACATGCTTAACCCACGCCATGGCTTACTTCACATTGTGGCAAAATATTAAAAATATATAAGGGCAAGATCTGGCTAAGTTATATTGCAAGAAATGGATGTAATCTGCGCCTATTCAGAAAATTAATTATCCACATAACTTATGTGGGTAAGTTATGAGTTATCCACATAACTCCCTCACCCCACTCACTTGACTTCCTCACTTCATCCGCATTATTCCCCCCTCCCTAAATTCCACTCTTATTACCTCCTCACCTCATCCGCATTACCGTTTGGTTACTGTTCATCCCTTTACTGCACCTGGTGTTTTAGAGAAAGGATGCTGCTTTTCTACCCTACCTTAACTGGTAGGGTGCTCCAGTGGATAAGAGAGTACTTAAACAATAGGAAGCAGAGTTACTGTGGGGGGTGAGACTTCAGATTGGCGTGAAGTCACAAGCGGAGTCTAACAGGATTCTGTACTCGAACCTATCCTGTTTCTGATATTCGTAAATTATCTTCTAGAGGGTATAGACTCATTCCTCCCAATGTTTGCTGATGATGCCAACATTGAGTCCACCAAGCAACAGCCTGGTGGACCAAACTCTCACAAGTCAAGTCTGGCCCTGGGCCGGGCTTGGGGAGTAGAAGAACTCCCAGAACCCCATCAACCAGGTATTAAGACAGAGGACAGCATGAGGCTTTAAGAAGACCTGGACAAACTGAAGGAATGGTCCAGCAAATATTTGTTAGAGTTTAACTTAAGCAAATGTAATGTAATGAAGATAGGTGTAAGGAGCAGGCGGCCAGATACAAGGTATCATTTGGGAGGTAAAATTCTTCTAGAATGAGGGAGAAAGACCTGGGGGGGGGGGGTTGATATCACACCAGACCTGTCCCCCAAAGCCCACATCAAGAGAATAACCTCAGCTCAGTGGCATATGCCAGGTTGGCCAACATAAGAACGGCCTTTAGAAACTTGTGTAAGGAATCATTCAGAACTTTGTATACCACGTATGTCAGACCAATCCTGGAGAATGCAACTCCAGCATGGAGTCCATATCTCTTCAAGCATAAAACTAAATTGGAGAAGGCTCAGAGGTTTGCCACCTGACTAGTGTCTGAACTGAGTGGCATGATCTATGAGAGACTACGGGAATTAAACCTCACGTCGCTGGAAGACAAGAGAGTTAAGGGGGAACATAATCTCCCCATACAAAATTCTCAAAGGAATTGATAAGGTATAATTACATGAATATAAATGAAAATACATGTGCACTGTATTGGTAGTCTGCCATTTTGTAATTGGCCTAAACAAGTAAAACCCTCCCCACCCTCCTCCTATCTTCAGCCCACTGCCCCACCCCACCAACAGAGTAAACACAATCAAATCATGTGTGTGTGTAGGTCATTGAGGATTTGGGGCCACCAGGTATTACACACCCATACAAACCTAAACCCACCCCCTACCCTCAATATGATTATTGACCCACTTGTTTAACTGCTGATATCTACCATGTATAAACTTACAGAATATTGTAATCTTCTGTTTATTTAATTAAAATTCTTTCTGTTGTTCTGTTGTTCCATCCATCATGTAATTATCATTCTCCTTTCATTTTTTGATTTTTAAATTCAATTAATGTTTTTTATCTCAATTAATATTAAGTTTTAGTCTAAATTTTTCCCCACAACTTGCCTGAAATGCTGTGCATATTAGTGGGTTTAGGCATAGAATGTACTAGTTTTATCTATAAATCCAACATCATGTTTGTAACTCATTTTCAATATATGTACCTTTACCTGAATAAACATCTAATCTTACCTAATCTAATACTGTATTCCAAGGCTGCCACATGGACGCTTGCACTGCAGCAAAATTTAAGGGGATGCTCCGGCAAGTTAGTACAATGATTTTATGCATGAAGGGGGTACATGGGGACCTGGTAGAATATTCGTAAAGGGGGAACTCCGTAAACTGTGTTTCATTTTCATAACTCAATATTTACAAAACCCATTGTACAGGTAATTACAGAACTAAACGAACAAAAGTAGTTATTCTTATAATTGCTGCAGATAGACATTCACGTTGCTTTGGATCTGGCGAGTTCTTTGCTAGGTTACTCTTTGTTGAATTCAGTAACTGATGGTAAGAGTGTGCAATTTTTAAAGATTTTGTACTTTTAAAATGATACCATGTCTTATCTCATTGCTTTAAGTTAAATGGCAATAGTAATTTTGAGATTTAATTTTTACATAAATACATCAAACTCATATGATATAAATTAAATTATTTCTTAAAATAAGAAAAACCTTAAATTGTATAACAAGGTGATGCAATGTCAAAGGAACATTATCAATTAATTTATAAAGCTGATTACTGCATGCCATTGCAAGCTAAACAGAGAGTCAGTACATGGGACATCTATGTACAATAATCATCATTCAAAGAGCATTCTAATGATCAAACTCTTAAAAATTAGTGCCAATATATAAACAGTTCATGGACCAAACACAAGATTTTCACGACTGTCTTGGGAAAAATCTACAAATAAGCAGTAAATCCAACTGTAATTTTTGTAAATAAATTGTAGAATAATTCTACCACCATAAATGCAATTGTCTTCTGAGTGCAGACATCGTGATGGCTCTGCATGAACTTCCATGGTGCCTTTATTTTTTTATTTTTTATTATAATTATCGTGCTGATGGAATTCAGGCATTGGGATGAATACAGCTTAGCATGATGCAAGTTCATTCATATAATGGAATTGTAATATAGGTAGTATATAAAAATAACAATTTATATACAAAATTTATACAAATACAGTATACAAAATATATAGTTTTTAATCCAAATTAAAATCTAAATATAAAATCGGATAATAGGATTTTTATGTAATAAAATAAACTATACTATATTAACTTTTCAGAAAAATAAAATGAATG